AAACCTAGTGAATAGCTTGCCAGATTCTCAGGTTGTTTCTGAAGTGCATTTTTTTTTAATCCCTATTTTAATGCCAGGAAATGAAACCGTTCACTTCCCACCCCAAACGTCTTCTCCCGCCCTTTCTCCTAAAACTGCCCCCTGACCACCCCACGCACACATCCCTTGCTTTCCTTTGAGGAGAAGGCAGTGACATCTCAGGACTTGGAAGGGGACATTTGTTTACAAAAAGCTTACTATCTTTTTGGACAGTTCTGGCCTTTTCAGGAGCGCCTGTGAGTGTGACACGTCATCATCTGCCCAGCCTAGCGCCATGGTGCCCTCCCCCTGCAGTTAATTAATCTCAGAGAGGAGGGGGACTGCCCACAGCTGGCGAATGGAGATATGTCGCCTTTTCCTCTGAGCAAGGTGACACAGCTTTCATTTGTACTAATGAACAGCTTGAATCAATCCTTATTGGGAATTACAAGCTGGAATTTTTAGTCACAGGAAATAAAGTATTTCACAAGCTACTTACTTTCATGAACAAACCAAACGTCTTTTTTACTGAGTCGCTTAATTTTCAGTGACTTCTCTAATTCAATAGGCTGAGCCGTTTTAGGAGGGTTCAAGCAAACTCTTAAATCAGTGAAGACACAGGCACCCTGGACGGCCCGAGGCTCATACAGATTTAACACTTTCTGAGTCACAAGGGTGAAAGCAGAGTAACCTTTTAACTTTAAATTTCTATCTGGGAAATGATTGATATAGCCCCAAATTAGAGTAACCAAAAATTTTGACCTCTTTGAGATCTTTTGAGATCTTTCTGAGATCTTCTATGTCTCCTTTGGATTGTCAGAAGTTAAAGCAAACCTAAGGTCATCTTTTTCTCTTCCCAAACACTCTTGTTTAATACGGATTTAATTCCCACGGAGTATGCTTCTACGTATCCTATGAGATCCCCATGTTCTTAGAAGGGCCCAGTGCCCCTCGGCTAGAACCCGTGAAATCTGGGCAGCGAGGACTCTCACACACACTCTCTCTCGGACAAGAATCTGTATTTTAGGCTTAAGGAGATGAACAATAGCCTGATCGTCTAGGATTGGGTTTCACTGTATCAGAAACAGAATTTGGTGTACGGGCAGGAGTCCTGCAAACCAGAGCCCCCCAGGCTCCAGGTTGAAAGGAAACGTGCAGGTGTCGCTCACTGCGTCCGAGCACACCGCCGGCTCCAAGCCGCCTCGCTCCTCACCCGATGGCCTCTCTCTGCTCTCTGTCTGAGGCCTGGCCTCCTCCAGTCTCCCACCCGCCCAATGCGCCCCAGAGCTTGGAGCCTCCAGTGCGGGCACAGCCTCTGCTTTTCTGTCTGTGCTCGGTCTGGAGGAAGAGCCATGGGGGGATGCCTACCGCCACCACCCCAATGTGCCCAGAGCCCTGGTTTTGTCACCGCAGTGGACATCGGAGACCGCAGCCTGCACCTCTTACACTAGGTTTAGAAAGCAGTTCAGTCTGTTGGTGGGACATGTATTGCAGAGACCAAGCTTAGGCCTTGACCTACTCACCTTGACCTGTGCTCAGTGACCCAGTAACCTTCTCATGAAGGTTCTGACCTGGGATGATGTCACAGCCCTCATTGATGCTCCGTGACAAGGGAAGGGATGGGTCAGGGAGGCGGAGTCTGTTCCTCAAACGTCCAAATCTGTGGGCTTGGGGGTGTGGGTAGCACATGTCTAAAGTTAACAGGGCTACAGGGGCNTTTTCAATTTGCCCCAATTATATCAGACTTCTTAGAGCTATTTCTCTAAATTTAATTTAATTTTCAAGAGACAGTAATTAACAAGAAATGTGAATAAAGCAATGACATTTATTTAATGACTTATATATTAATCTCACAGGGCTTCTTCCGGCGAACTATTCGACTAAAGCTGGTCTATGACAAATGTGACCGTAGCTGCAAGATTCAAAAAAAGAATCGAAATAAGTGCCAATATTGTCGTTTTCACAAGTGCCTTTCGGTTGGCATGTCCCATAACGGTAGGTAAGGTTGTCTGTCGCATGTTCCCAGTCCATGCCTCAGCTCTCCTTCCTTGTTCAGTCAGAATGGACTGTATTTGGAATGAATGTGCTGCAACATTTTAATACCCAGATCATTTTTAACCCTAATAGCCTAAGAAAATAAAAGTCTCAGGTAACTGAGATGCAGCAGAGCACTTAGAGTTCCTGTGAGAAACTTCAAACACTACGACTTTGATATGAGAGCTCACAGCCAATTGGAAATCAGTGGGAGGTCTTAATGTGCATATCCTACATATAAAGCACATGCCATCTTAAACGTTTTACCCTTTTATGAATTTAATTATATTTAATCATACTCTAATTTTAGAACATGCTGATTATTATGAGAAGGTAAATTTAAAATAATGAGTTCATAAAGGTTGCATGTCTACCTTCTGGAAAAAAGAAGAAGGTATCATATAAACTCACTCACAGGCTCACTTCCAGCTCCTTTGCCTAAAGGACCGATGATGGCCGAGCGACAGTAAGCAGCCTTAAGCCCATCCTGCAAATGAAATGAGGAATGCTGTCACCTTTTTTTTTTTTTTTAATTTTACTGGGAAACAGTCATGGTCATTGGTTGCACATTGCTTTCATTCTACAGTGGCATAGTTGAGTTGACTCTTTTAAGGAGGGCACAGCTCACAGTGCCCCATGCGGGGATCAAACCGGCAACCTTGGTGTTATCTGCATCATGCTCTAACCAACTGAGCTAACCGGTCACCCCAGTGCTGTTGCCTTTTATTTTAACCTTTTCAAAAAGATCCAGGATTTATGGAGTTTGAGTTTTCTTTTCACCTTTCCAAAGAAAAAAGCTG